CATGAAAAATAATTAACATCCGTGAGCAGAAATACATGCACCCTTTTCAAAGCATAAGTGGTTTTCCTTCCTATAAGAGATCTCTGAATATAATGAACTGTATTAATGCCATATATTAAGTAGATCTCTAATATAGTGTAAAACAGGAAAATAATTACAGTTATAACAAGTATGTACTGTACACATATATACACACATTTCCAAGCATTCTACTGAAGATGCCAGTATGAACCAGTATACTCATTTGCAAAATCTCTAAGTGCAACAAGATCAATAAATGCCTCAAACTTGCTTTCATTACTCTGCCCATTCATTCTCTAAATATATTATTTAACCACAAGATAATGCAGGCAATTCAAAATTTAAGTTACATGATCGTAAGAATGGCAACCCTAGCTTCAGTGTAAATATTTTCCATGCAGTGAGAAAAGAGGTCTGTGTTTATATTTTTCATGGGCTTCAGAGGCTTAATTTCCATACATCATTCAAAGACCATTTTCACACTTTAAATCCAGCTATCTAACCTTAATTTTTACAACGATGCCTCAAGGGTTACTTTCATTCAGATTTATCATACCTTTACATTCTGCTGCGTAAATCTGTCTGAAGTATTAATTCGCGTGAACTTCATCCTGTATAAAAAGAGAGAGAAAACACCCCACCCCATAATATTACACTTTTTAAAAAATACAACTTGAGTATGTTACAAAACCGTGATAAGTTTCTATTTCCAGACAAAATTCTGTAACAATCATTACTTTCTCTCTTAAAATATGTCAAAATAACATTACCTTATTGGGCTGTTTGAATCAAAGGGCTCGGTTATCACTTCAGCTGTATACAAGTTATTTTTAAAGGATCGGTTTGTTTTAGGAGTAGAGGTCTGCAGAGGGGGAGCATCTGGTGGATTTTCAGTAACAGCCTGTGAAACCATGGCTTTTTCTGGTGTACTCTGCCTTATTTTTTGCCGACAATGTCTTCTCAATCCCTTACTTTTTTGAGAAAATTCTCTTTCTTTCTCAGTTGGTGTTGTCCTATTAATTGGACCATGAGCATTATTGTTCTGGTTATGATTAATATTGAAATCCTTCTCGTCTGCTTCCACTATGCCCTTCCGCTTTCTGGATTTATTTTTTACTCTGGTTCTACCACATTTTTCAGTAATGTCATGGGCAGTGCTACTACCATAAGCTATCAATGCATTATTTGGTGTGTTTTGGTTAGAATGATCCTCACATTCTTCTCCTTCTAGTTTGTGGCTTGATGATTTTTCTTCAACTTCTTTCTGCTTGCTAGGTCCTCTTTTAGCTCCATTTTTTACTATCTCTGCTCCTGGCTGTCTAAAAGCTTTCATAAACTGGTATCGTTCTTCTGCAGTGCATTTCAATTTCACAGTCTCTGAAGCTGTACTTTCTAATACTGCCAGTTCTAACTCTTCTTCTGCAATCACCACATTTGACTTTCTTTTTTGAGTCACCTGTTCAGTATACTCCATTTCTGAAGAAGATGGAGTCTTTTTAACTTTGGCTTTGCTTTTTGAGTTTACAAAAATAGAAGCAATTTTCTGGGACCGGAGAGATTTTGGAGGGACAGAATGAATCTGGGCAAGGACGGTCACTTTCTTAAGAGGCAAATGTTGAGTGCCTTGATAAACGTCTGTTTTATCAGAGGCAACAAAATCATCAGATGTCTGTTTCCTTAGAATCTGTTCAAAGTCTTCTCCTTGGCTTTTTAAGAAGTCTTCAAATGATATGGTGACAGTATTCTCATTTAACTGTGGTGTCATCTGTGCATTAGTCTCAGGATCTGGAGTAAGTAATAAACTTCTATTTTCTGACTCAGTGATGGATGCAATTTGTTTATTAGTTTCTTTACCTGAATCTTTTGTCTGTGTATCAGTGGTAGAATTTTCAAACAAATCCATTTCATTTTTAGGGTTCCTTCTTTTTAATTTTTTCGCATTACTTTTTACTATATTTCCTTCTATTTTAGCTTTTCTTTTCTCATTGTTGTAACTAACTGTACTGAGAGAGCCTTCCCTGCAAACATTTAATGTCTCTTCCCCATTTGTGAGACTATTTAACGCAATATCATTGTGACTCATGAAACTAGCCTTATAGTTCTCTTCTAGTGGATTGGTTGTCTCTTTATCATTATCCTTATTCAATTCTACCAAAGGCTCAGGCTCAAGTGTGTTATCAGTTTTTAATTTATTATTTAAGTTATTCCGTTTTCCTCTCCACTTAAGTTTTGATGGAGGTCTTGAAGAATTTTCCAATGAGGCTGAGTTTGCTTTGCTTTCCTGCTCTAGTAGAGGTGAAGCGATATTCTCATTTATAGTTTTTTTAAAATAATCCATTATGTTATTAGACTTTGGTAGTGACAATACACTCTCAACATTTTTCCCCAATGGAGAAAAATAGCTGGTAATTGCTTTAATAGAAAGGTCATCTTCCTTCCGTTTTGTACATGACTGTAAAGAAAGAGCATAGGAATAAGTACAATAAAATGCAAATATCTTATCAAGGTGATATTCACTTTGGAATTATTTTTTTAAAGATTCTCAGCATATCACTCACAAATACAGGGCATTATTTTTAAATGTTGTGCAGTGCTTTGGATTCACTACCACAAAGATGTTTTAAAACATTTGGGGACTGCAAACACAACATCTTTCTGCAACTTAAAGCACACATGATTTATTTCTGACATGTCTTCTTGTTAACAGGCAACAAATTCAGGCTTTAATTTAGAGATCCTGACCTAGACCAACTTCCAGCTGAACTATTAATGCCAGTGTACAAAAATGAAGAAAAAGCTGATCAGACACATACAGTATAGGTAATCCTTGACTCATAACATTTCTTTAGCAATCAAAGTTACAGTAGCACCGAAAAAAGTAACTCACTACTGGTCCTCACACTTACTACTGTCACAGTATCCTCACAGTCTTGTGATCAAAATTTGGCCCAAAGGTGCTTTTTCAAGAGGCAACTGGATTTTGTTTTTCTTTGAAGACTTTTCATTTCTCATCCAAGAAGCTTCTTCAGCTCTGACTGGATGGTGGGGAATGGAAGGATTTATATTCCTTGCAGACTGCAGGGAATATAAATCCTTCCATTCCCCACCATCCAGTCAGAGCTGAAGAAGCTTCTTGGATGAGAAGCGAAACATCTTCAAAGAAAAACAAGAAAGTCCAGTTCTCTCCTGAAAAAGCATCTTTGGGACAACCATACCTGGATGACTGAGAACCTCCACAGACATCTGATACCAATTGTTGTTGCAATAAATGTACTTATTTATCTTTTGTATTCCAGCAGATTGCTTTCCTAATTTTCTTTCCACCAGTCAAGCAGAACTAAGTAGCATCCACATCTGAAGAAAGGTATGGACGTGAGAGCGATCTGGCTGCAACATCTATCACCACATCCATGGCCAGAGTTGACTTAAAATAAAACCAATCAAATTGGCCAAAGATAAGAAAATGCCCATAAACAGGAAATACAATGCTGTACTAGAAACATTATTAGGCATTGGATAAGTCTTAACACAATTTCTATAAAAACCTTTTTTGAAGAAAACTTGACAACTGTAATTAGTTTACTTAACTTCCTAGGGCATTTCTTGTCTGACACTAAATTCCCCCGATCTTTGAATTCCATTGAGCTACCGATGGCCCTTCTTGAGCCCTCCTGGTTGGGAATTACAGTTCATTAGAAAGCTAGCAAAAACAGTAGTTTGACACCTCTTCTCTTCCCAACTTTGAAGCCCAAGCCTCAGCCGCCAAGGATCCTTGGTTTTGGGAGGGATCGCAAAACAAAGTGAGCGTACGGTAAAGGAGACAAATGAAATCAATATGCTAATACAGGCAAAAGAGAATTTTATTTCCACCTTAAAATCCAGATTAATATACCAATATTGCATGCATATATTAAACGGGAGGTCGAAGGTGTCAAAAGATTAGAGCCGGTTACTGGCGCCTATACAAAGAGATCTCTGCATCCCACCGCTTTCCCCTCCCGCTCGGGCGAGCAATAACAGGGACGCCGAAGAGAAATGCCTCCTCTTCCCTTGCTCTCGCGTCTCTCTCCTTAGCGCTTACCTGGGCAGCCCCGTCAGTCGGTGAAGCTGTCGCGGCCGCAAACACGGCCATCTTCCCTGCCAAGAAAGCCGCCCTCACCCCAGGCGTCTCCTATCCGCCATTCAGCGGGAAGACGAACCCCATCGGAAATTCCCGCGCGAGAATACAATCGGGCAAACCAGAAAAGACCGCGCAAGAGGCGGGGAAGTGGGAGGGATTTGGAGCATAGTGACACTGGGGAGGGAGGGGCATGCGCTCCTAGGAAGCACGTGACAGGAGAGCCGGGTAAAGACCCGCTCGTTGCCGTGTTCTATGTCACGTGAACTTCTAAGCCAATTAGAGGAAGGCTCCTAGTGTGTGTGTGTGTGTGGGGGGGGGTAAGGCTGGGAGAAGGTTTTGCTTTGTTTTCAAGGCATAAAGCGGTTAAAGTGTCTTTTGAGTTGAACTCGGCTCCCGGTGGCCGTGTAAGTATGGAATAGTGCAGCTTGGATTGTGACCTCACAGCATACAGTTTATCATTTTGGAATCATCTTGGCTAGCTGAAAAAGCTATGCATAGACTTGTGTTTACACTAATTGCTTTGCAGTAATTATTGAAAGCTAGTGATTTATATTGTCGCTAGCATCCTTCTCTATGGTAATATAACAGTATTGGCTCTGTAATGGTTGGGTGGTGCAAGTCCCTAGTGAGAAAGAGCAACTATCAAGTATTCCTTTAAAATTTAGTTTAACTAAAAATAAAGTTTAAATAACTGACTCATGAAATACCTTCTCTGAATGACGACCCTGTTGTTTTAACATGTATCTGCCCATCTACCATGATTTGGCGTTTTTTAAAAGTCCTTTTTGATGCAATTAACTACATCGCTCCGGTTAAAATCAGTAAAGAAAACAGCTATGGATTATAGTCTTCCTTCATTCTTCAGAATCAGGTAATGGGAATCCCGTGATAATTCCCAAAATAAAAATATTAAATACGAATTCGCAGCGCGAGTGGAGAACCTCGGAGACTCCGCCCCTCTTCCTGTTCTTCCACGATTGAAATGCCCGGATGTTCTTCGCTTCCGGTTGTGAAGCTACTGCCAATAGTGGGCTTGGCCGAGCGGAGGCCTGCCACTCTCGCTGCCGACTGGCAGTGGGTTGTCGTCGGGGGAAATGGAGCTGGAGCTGGAGACGGAGGCGTTGTTGCAGGAAGCGCACGAGAGCATCGAGGCGGCGCGTACCTACTGCCGTGAGCTGCAGCAACGCCTAAAAGGACTGCACCTGGCTCGCCAGCAGGTAATGATGCGGGCGTGATTCCGCCGGCGCCCGCCTGGAGCCTCGTCTTGCAGCGTTGGGGGTGTGGAGAGCGGATGTGCGGGGAACCTGGGGAATGTACGCTCTTCTGCAATGCATTGGTCTCCTCTAAGCTGGGAATAGCGGGCTCCCTGTTCAATTTGCAAGCGCTGCGGCGTTTAACTCGATCCGAGGGCAGCTTTAGACTCCCTCTGCAGAAAGATTGCCAGAATGGCACGGCGTTCACTCTTTGGCGAGGTATAAAGCGTAGATTGCCTTGCCCCTTCCGTTCTGCTTCTTTAGGAGCTAGTTTGCAGGGGGAACTTTGCTTGAGAGCTTATCTAAGTATTGCTTCTTTTCTCCGTGTATAGTAGTGGCTGCTTGACACAGAAAGGGAAATTCAATATAATTTTAGAAAGCGAACTGCCGTCTGTTACAATTTGAAGCAAGTTTGGGTCCAAAGGAGTGGGCTGGGAATGCAGAAGCGTTATCTCATAATAGATGAAATAGTGCTTTTATGCTGGCAGGAAGTAATAGAACCAATAGCTCCAATTTCCGTTGCCTCATTTCTAAAATGGTAATATACTCTCGTTTTTATTTGTGGGCTGAAATGGGAACTTGCAAATGCTACGAGCCTTTTAGGTAAGTTTGTGCAACGGAGCATTGCAGAATGAATAATATGGAGGGATAATAAATGAAGCAGAAAATTCCAAGCAACACCAATTTCCATTGAAGTTGGCAGTAATGGAACCCTTGTTCTCTCTATAATTTATATTTGCTTTTATATTTTGAAATAAATTACTTACACAGGTAAGTCCTCAACTGACAGCCATTCATTTAGTGATTGTTCAAAGTTACAACAGCACTGAAAAAAGTGACTTATCGTTTTCACACTTACCACTGTTACAGCATGGTCATGTGATCAAAATTTGGACTCTTGGCAACTGGCTCATATTTATGAGGGTTATAGTGTCCTGTATTCATATGATTACTTTTTGCAATCTTCTGACAAGCAAAGTCAATGAAGAAGCCATGTTCATTTAACAACCATGTTACTTAACTACTACATTCATTCACTTAACAACTATGGCAAGAAAGGTCGTAAAATGGGGCAATAATCACTTAACAATTGGTTTGCTTAGGAAAGGAAATTTTGGGTTCAATTATATGTGATTTCCAGGTGCAATTGATGCAGTTTATGAAGAGAAAAATGCAAATTCGTTAAAAATTCCATAGTTTGTATTAAGATGATTTCTCTATTAGGATTAACTCATATGGTATTATAAAATACTGTGTGCATACTTTCACTTTATGTATAGGTACACAAACATCAGACAATGCAGTAAACATTTTTTAAGTTTTCAAAACTTCTCACATCAATCAAGAGTTTCTCAGTCTCTCCCTTACAAGAAATTTGCATTCCCTTCATATATTTGTTTTACAATTTGATTTTCATTCATTTTGTCTGATGAAACATCTTAAGGTGCTTTTTCATATGGTATTCAATCCACATTCATTCAGCACTCTATCATTAATTCAATCTTACCCTTCTTGTTTTAGGGCAGACTTGTTAAGAAACCCATTCCCACGACTTCCACTTTCCCCTGCCATAAAACAGAACTTATTGAAGCATATAAAAGCCATTTTTGCTTCTTTGACACTTATTCTTTAGAACAGACCACATACATACCATTGCCTTTCTACCAACATTTCCATGTTTCCATACACAAACCATCTACCTGGAGTGATTTTGACTTTGCATGTTTTTGTATATTTTTGAGCATATTTTTTAACTACTGTATTTTTCTGTCTATAAGATGCACCTTGTTATAAGACGCTCTGGCATGCGAATTCTCAGCGCCGAACAGCTGAGCCAGTAAATCCGGAAGTTCGGCCAGCCGACAATCTTGACACCTGCACCAGGTGGCATGGCAACCCACAGAGGCATATCCTGGGCTGCGGAGGTTACCATTATTTTTCTGTGTATAAGACGCTGCACTTGTATAAGACACACCTGATTTTTGAACAGGGTGTTTGCAGGAAAAAATAGCATCTTATACACGGAAAAATGTGGTAAGTCTATAACTACTGGTTCCCCAAAGATAAGACCTATCTCCAAAATAACCATAGCTTGATTTTTACGCATGTGCCTAATATAAGCCCTACCTCCAAAATAAGAGCCTATGCAGCTGGCTACCCGCCCGCCCAGTCTGTCAGGCTGTTCACGGTGCCACCTCCATGAGGTGAAGCGAGACAGGTGGGAGAAGGAGTGTAGCTGTCCCATGCATCCTGCACTCGCTTACCTTGGGGCCCACGTGGCCAGGCCTCTCACACCCCAACACGGTCTCGCGGTGGCGGCACCAACAGCCCCATCAAACAGGAGCCTCTGTGGCTGCCGCCGGCCCACTGCTTTTGCAGCCACCACTTGCACGTGTTTCCTCCATCTTCTGTTTTGCCGGCAGAGGCCTTCAGGAAAGGCCTCTACAGCTGAGAATGGAGCCTTGAGTTGATGCGCGCATCACCCTTGGCCTCCATTTTGCCAGCAGAGCACTTTTCGTGCAGGCCTCTGCCGACAAAAGGGAGGTCAGGGGCGATGCGAGCAGCTGCAGAAGTGGGCCGGCAGCCATGCAGGCTCCTTCTAGACGGGGTTTTCAGTGCTGCTGTCGCGAGGTGAGACAATGAGAAAAATAAGACATCCCCTGAAAATAAGACCTAATGCCTTTTTTGGAGGCAAAAAATATATAAGTCTGGGCCTTATTTTGGGGAAAACCCGGTACATTTATAATTTCATTCTATTTTCACAGTCAAACACAAACATTTTCAGTCTTCAGTATTAATGCCGAGATTCATACATTACAGATCAGACTCTATGGCTCATGAATTTAACATTTGCTGTAATCGTTCAAGTTCTCAGTCAATAAGATGGTATAATCATGTTCAGAGCTACGTACATATTCATACTTCTAGCCAAGACAGCTTTAATCACAAGCATTCCTTACATGTTATTTAAGACATTCATTAAACATATATTTTTCTGTTACTCTATGTTTGGCTTTGAACCATGAAAATCTGTATCATCCTAAAGTCTGTTTACTCCATTATTTGGTTAAAAATTAAATATCCATGTAAGATGCCAGTCTCCATATTTTGATAATACAAACTAAAATATATTAAAATTTATATATACAGCTGGGAGGAAAACATCTTGCCCAGACACCCATACTTAAACTTACAGTTTTTACGAAGAAAACTAGATGGGTTATTTTATATAGCATGATGGATGGCTGCCTGTTTGGGTAGGAAAGCTAAAAAGTGGCTGGTACCTCAAGAGAAATGAGTATTTCCTTCTCTTCCTCTGCTCTGCGTCATGGAGTTGGAAGATCAACAAAATGAAATTCAATGGTGAAAAAAGTAAGGTTCTACATTTAGGCAAGAAAAACCAAATGTACAGGTATAGTATAGGGGGTACCTTGCTCAGTAGTAACTGTGAGAGGGATCTCGGAGTCCTAGTAGACAATCATTTAAATATGAGCCAGCAGTGTGCTGCAGCTGCCAAAAAAGCCAACACAGTGCTGGGCTGCATTAACAGAGGGATAGAATCAAGATCACGTGAAGTATTAATACCACTTTACAATGCCTTGGTAAGACCACACTTGGAATACTGCATCCAGTTTTGGTCACCACGATGTAAAAAAGATGCTGAGACTCTAGAACAGCGGTTCTCAACCTATGGGTCGCGACCCATTTGGGGTCGATCGACCATTTTTCGGGGGTCGCCAAAGGCGGCGATCCGCCATTTTCTCCCCTCCGGGGGCGGTGCCACGCATGCACGCCACGCACAGGGGCGCCGCGCATGCGCATAACGTTTGTGTGATGGGGTCGCCGTCACACAAACGTTGAGAACCGCTGCTCTAGAAAGAGTACAGAGAAGAGCAACAAAGATGATTAGGGGACTGGAGACTAAAACATATAAGGAACGGTTGCTGGAATTAGGTATGTCTAGTTTAACGAAGAGAAGGACGAGGGGGGACATGATAGCAGTGTTCCAATATCTCAGGGGCTGCCACAAAGAAGAGGGAGTCAAGCTACTCTCTAAGGCGCCTGAAGGCAGGACAAGAAGCAACGGATGGAAACTGATCAAGGAGAGAAGCAATGTAGAACTAAGGAGAAACTTCCTGACAGTTAGAACAATTAACCAATGGAACAACCTGCCTCCAGAAGCGGTGAATGCTCCAACACTGGAAGTTTTTAAGAAGAGACTGGACAGCATTTGTCCGAAATAGTGTAGGATTCCTGTCTGAGCAGGGGGTTGGACTCGATGACCTCCAAGGTCCCAAGTTGTTGATGATGATGATGATGATGATGATTATTATTATTATTATTATTATTATTATTATTATTATTATTATCCTCAAAATTAGCCCAATCGTCTGCTGCCCAAAGTATCTCCAATGTGACTGATGCTTCTGAATGTCCTTATCATGCTATTCAGCTTCATTTTAATTATCTCCAATGAAACAGAGCTTATTAGCTCTTCGGGTAATTTGTTCTGCCTATGGCTCTTATTGTTAGTTCCCCCTCCCTAAAGTTTAACTGAATAGAATAGAATATCAGAGTTGGAAGGGACCTTGGGGGTCTTCTAGTCCAACCCCCTGCTCAAGCAGAAGCCTCCAGTAATGGAGCACCCACGATTTCTGAAGAGAAGCCATTCCACTGATTGATTGTTCTCACTGTCAGGAAATTTTTTCTTAGTTCTAGGTTGGACCTCTCTTTGATTAGTTTCCATCTGTTGTTTCTTGTCTTGCCTTCGGGTGCTTTGGAAAATAGGTTACCCCCCCCTCTTTTCTTTGTGGCAACTGAAATCTGCTTTTCTATACTTTTTATCCAGAGGTTCTTGTTTGACTCAGCTCTGTCTTCTGTGATGTGCTTCAGATATTTATAAATTGCTACAATATTCCCCCATTATCTTCTCATTTTATGAAATAAATATATTTAGCTATTTC